CAGTTCTAAGTAGAATCAAACTTACATATGAAAGTAAAAACTACAAAACTTTAGAAAACAATGTGGGAGAGACTCTATAATTTCAAGAAGGAAACTGTTAAGATACAAAAACAAAAAAAAATTAAAGAAAAGTTACTGGTTTGGGACTACCCAGATTTAAAGATGACTGTTCACCAAAAACATAATAGTTTGAAAAATAGTCCTAAAGCAAGAATTGTTTCTACAACATAACTTTCTTAGGGTTAAAATAATAAAAACATAAAGAGTTTTTACAAATCTACCAGAGAAAGACAATCTGTGCAATACTATGGCAAAGACAGGAACAGGCCTTTCACAGAAGAAACACAAATAATAAGGGTTTGCCAGAATGTGGAGTTTCAAGAACTCTCTCACACCTCAGATGGGAGGGGAAAGTGTAACCAATTTGTAAAAACAAGTTGGCAATACTTTGTTAAATTGAAAGTGAGTAACCGTTTGATCCAGTAATTTCACTCTAAGAAATTCTGACACGTGGACACCAAGAGACACAGACTAGGACGTTTATAGGCGTGTTATGAATGATAGGGAAAAAAGTGGGAACAACCCAAATGTTCACCAGCCGTAGAATACATACATAAATTATGAGTCATTAAGCAATGAAATACATCAAGCAGTAAAGCAAGTGGATTAAAGTTATATTTATCCACGTAGGTGAATTGTAACAATTTTTTATTTTAAAAAGCAAGTTATAGAAGAATATATGTATATGTGCAGGTTTTAAACAGTCTAAAGATATATTATTTATACATAATTGTGGAACTAGTAAAATTCAGGAAATAATTAACACAAAATTCCAGCAGTGATTGCCAGGAGAGGAGAAGGTGTGGGAGTCAGGTATATTGGCATAAGGGTGCACAAGGAAGCTTCAAAGTGACTGTCATGGTTCTGTTTCTCAGGCAGAATGGTGCAAGGTGAATATTATAACTTTGATGGGGTTTATGACTTTTAAAACTCAATGGGCACTTTTTTTTTGGTGGTGGTGATGGAGATTGAACCCAGGGCCTTGTACATGTGAGGCAAACTTTACAAACTGAGCTATATCCCCAGCCCCTGCATGGCACATTTTATACCTTTTTTTGATACATTTAAGAGAAATATAACCTGTAGTAATTTTAGAGATAATAGGAGATGTTTTTAAATTAGGTAAAATGAATTAAGGTGTTAAAATGCAAAAAGATTGATTTAATTTTCTAAGTTAAGGCCTCTCTATTCTAGCAGTTTTAGAATGCAAATTCAGGGAGAGTGTAGAGACCTAAAATAACATCTCTGGTGTGGTAGTGTAAGGGAAGTGTTGGAGACACACGTCCTCGACCTGGATTGGTTTTCTTCCTCTACCACTCCCTTTCTCACTCCCTTAAATATTTAGTTCTTTAATTACCAAACCTGTCCTAGGAGCTGAATAGACAAATCAGGGAATGTTCCTGTCTTGACACTTAAAACATTTTTTAAACTCTTGTTTAGAGACTGATAATATTATCTTCCTAAACTAACTCATCAAAATTCACTTCAGGTACATATTATAATCACTCTTTGAGATCTTTTAAAATAAATCCCTATTTATATGTTTAGACAAACCTAATGAAATGCACGGCTTTAAATTTTTCAGGATAACATCCTTTTTAATCTGGATCTATATCTTAGATAATAGCCTAATTCTTACATATAGTTATTCCAATGTTGGGTTTTTTTTTTTTGTTGTTGTTGTTGTTTGTTTGTTTTTGGTACTGGGGATTTGGGGATTGAACCCAGATATCCTTTATCAGACCTTTCTTTAAAATTTTATTTTGAAACAGGGTTTTGCTAAGTTGCCCAAATTGTGATCTTCCTGCCTTAGCCTTCTGAGTAATTGGGATTACAGGCATGTGCCACTATGTCTGATGCATTCCAATTTTTTTAGTTACCCTTCCCATATGTATCAGTTGAACCCAATATATTGATTTTTATCTTTATATCTATGCTTTTGAGGCTTGAAATTGGATCTCATCGGAAACTTTGACTTAAAGCAGTATTTCCAAGATCATCACAAGCATACTGCTAAGAATATCAGGGACTACAAAGGCAAATACTTTTTTCTTAAATATTTATTTTTTAGTTGGACACAATACCTTATTTTCTTCATTTTTATGTGGTGCTGAGGATCAAACCCAGGGCCTTGCATGCGCTAGGCGAGTGCTAAACCGCTGAGCCACAACCCCAGCCTCACAAAGGCAAATAATTTTTTTTTTTTTTTTTTTTTTAAAAGAAACAATCTATGAGGCGAGTAGAGAACCTACATCTTTTTTTTTTTTTTTTAAGAGAGAGTGAGAGAGATAGAGGTAGAGAGAGAGAGAATTTTTTTAATATTTATTTTTTAGTATTTGGCGGACACAACATCTTTGTTTGTATGTGGTGCTGAGGATCGAACCCGGGCCGCACGCATGCCAGGCGAGCGCGCTACCGCTTGAGCCACATCCCAGCCCCAAGGCAAATAATTTTTAATAGTCACCTAGTTATTTTAGTCTTTTTTATAAAATACACTCATGAAACCTGTGATTTCATGGCTGTTATTTCTTAGATGAAGGTAATATAAGTCGTACATAGACTGCATGAATTCATGGCCGAAATGGTTCTCAGATACAGCAACAAATCATGAAATTGTGTGGTTTATACATGTAATATTTAGATATAAAGGTGAATTAAAGCATTCTTTTTGGGGCTGGGGATGTGGCTCAAGCGGTAGCACGCTCGCCTGGCATGCGTGCGGCCCGGGTTCGATCCTCAGCACCACATACAAACAAAGATGTTGTGTCCGCCAAGAACTAAAAAATAAATATTAAAAAAATTCTCTCTCTCTCTATCTCTCTCTCTCTCCCTCTCCCACTCTCTCTTTTTTTTTAAAAAAAAAAAAGCATTCTTTTGATTCCCTTTGATTGTCTCTTACTTGTAATTCTCAAAAAAAAAAAAAAAAAAACTCTGATGTGGTATTGTTAGGAAAAAGCAATCTAGAAAATCCTGTTTGGATATCATATTCTGTTGTAGAAACTGCTCTAGTAATGCAAAGATGATAAGATATGGGTCCTTCCTTCAGAAGCACCAGCCTAATAAGAATAGGCAAGTAAAATAAAACCTGACACAGCATGGTATGTGCTTTAGAGGAGCATGTGTAAGTTGGTAGGTAGCTTGGGAAGGCGATACTGACCATGGAGAGCAAGGGACTCTTCACTGAGGAAGGGGCACTTGGAAGGAGGTTTAAGAGATGAGCAGAAAATTTACAGTATGACAGACTGGGAAAGGGACACCTGGGAAAGGCACATGCCAAGGTACAGAAACCTAAAAGGACGAGGCGTATTGGGTTAACTGTGAGCAAGCAGCTCGTCATTGGAGGTGAGGGTTGAGGACCTGATATGAGGGTGTCTTGAGGGTTTCCATGTGGAGTGTGATGGTCTTTTCTTAGATCTTATCCTCTACGGCTTATCACCCTGTGAGAGCTCTTAAGCAGAAGAGGGTCATGTTATGTTCTCTGGGGCAGTGCAGAAGATGGGTTAGAGGGTAAGTGTCACATTATGGCTGGTTGTTGGGCAAAGGGAAGTGGGAAGCAGTTGGGGAGAGATTCTGCTTTGTTTCAGTTTTCAGGATATGCAGGAAGCTAGGTTACATCTTGACTTTTCCTAGAACTTAATTCATTGAAGGAGATAGTAGTAGGTGATTTGGAGCCAACATATGAAGTTGCTGAAGACATTGATATTATTCAGTCTATTGATAAACAAGTATTAATTAACCTTACCTTATATTAACAGCAAAGAGATTTTTATTTATTTTATGTTTTTACATTATTTTTTAGTTGTTGTTGTACCTTTTTTTTTTTTTTTAATTTGGTGCTGAGAATTGAATCCAGTGCTTCACACACGCTAAGCAAGGGCTCTACCACTGAGCTACAACCCTGGCCCTTATTTTGTATTATTTTACTATAGGAAGCAGCATATAAAAGTCAAGTGGAGATGTGGTATTGATGAGAAATTCAAGTGGCACATTCTGTAATAAATTGCAGAGACAGTAGAAAGAAATCTTTAAACTTTTTTTTTTCTTTTTTGCAGGTGATAACCTGCCAAAATCTCAGATAATGGTGTTATTTAAAGGGGTTTGAGTAGACAACAAAATTTTATATGAATAGCCTCCTTTATGAGTTTTAAAAGGCCTGGGGTTATAACTCGGTAGCAGGAGGTCCCGGATTTGACCCCCAGCACCAAAAGTAAAGTATACAGAAGCCAAAAAAGGTAAACAGAGGCTTTAGAAGTGTTTTATGTAACTTAATTTTGTTGCTTCTGTGACTATTTACTTAGATTTAATAATCTTGGGATTTCTTGTTTCTGTCTTTCAGAGGAATGGTTGGTATACCAACTTATTTTTGTACTTTTAGTATATCATAGGTTTGATGCTGACCTGTGTATGTGAGTTTGTATCTGCCTGTATAGCCAGACCCTTAATACCAAATTTTCTGCCTCACATTTATTTGGAAGTATTCTGACATTTTGGGATGTGTCTCAGTTAGTTTATTTGCTAACATCCCTAAAGCCACGTGGTCTTAGCATTATTTTAACCTTTGAGTATTGTGGCCATCAAAAAGTTTTGACTTTGATGAGGAATTAACTTTTTAACATTTCTCCAAAAATAATCCAGAAGCATCAAAAGAGCAAATTCATTCCAAGGGCATGTAGTGATGGCCAATAGGGAAGTTAACATTAACTTGATAGTGTGACCTTAGAATAGAAATGAGGGAGGCCACAGAAATGAAGGAACCACAGTGACCTTGGGACCACTGCAGGTTCCTTCCTGCAAGGCCCAATAATGTTGACTACAATGAAACTTGATTTGTACTTGAAAAGATATTTTCTGTGCTGTTGTCACCAAGTTCTTTTGAAGTTCTTTATCATTATTTTGAAGAGTTAATTCCTTATTTTTGTTTATTTTTTACTTTGACACAGAAATCCCCTGCAAAGAAGCTGAGCCATGCAATTAGTAAATCTTTGGGGTGTGTGCCCTCCAGAGAACCCCCACATCCTGTTTTTCCTGAGCAACCAGAGAAACCACTTGACCTTGCACATATAGTGTAAGTATGCACCTGAATATGGACCCTTCTGAAATGGAGGTCTTGTGAAATTCCTTTGGATCAAAACCAAGAATCTCCTAACACGAACATTGCCCTTTTTAGACGCCAAGCTCCAATTTCTTTAAATCACCATAAACATCTACATGGAAGCCTAGCTTCCTGATTCCTGAAGCCTAAGAAACAGCATTTTCAGAACAGGAATACCTAGAAGAGGAGTGTTTGTGCTATTGAGCTGAGTTGCCTTTTGCTCTTTATATGTCCTGCCCTTAAATTAGTGATAGAAGTCACCTCTTCTCCTCAGCAGTAGTGCCCACAGGGACTTGAGTCAGTTTACATGACATGGAAATAAAAACCAACTTACTTTTCCCTTTTCAAATTGAGAGAAAATTAGGCGCTGTATGTGTATATAAGGCTGTTACACACACACAAACACACTCGCGCACGCACGGTAAATAAAGCAAAGCTACTGGGGAACAAAAAGTTTGAGAAATAAAGACCAGAGGTATGGAGGAAGAGAGACAGAAAAGCACAGGATTCAGTCTCTAAAATGATTTCTTCATTCTGAATTAAATGGTGATAGTAAGTATACTTTGGTCAATAAAGTTGGCAGGTTTGGGATCTTTAGTCGTCATCACGAGTGTGGAAGTTTCTCTGCTATAGTCAGCACTCATTATCTTTTACCTACCTGATGGAAGATGGTTTGACCAAATGAGCTGTTGGGGATATCAAATAATTTTTAAAATAATTTTAAATATCTTAAAAACTTTGGTATTTATTAAAATAATATATGCATGTGGATTACAAATTCAGTAATACAGAACTGCTTGTTTTAACACAACACACCCTCCAACACTTGACCTTCCTTTGCCTGGGTTTTAGGTCTACCAGTAGTTACCTCTATGTTTCTCTGTCTTATATGTATAAGACCATTTTTCTTGACCTACCAGTTTTAGATATTATTGAACTTCATCAAGGGTGTAAGGAATCAACCTCATTTATAAATAGATGCCATCCTAATCCTAACCCTAACTCATCCCAGTTTTTCATAATTGTATCACCATTTTTAAGTTGGCTTCCTTAGTGATTTTAAATAATATTCTTAAAACTCAATTTCTTTGAACTCCCTTCAACTTCTACTGCATAAACTGAGAAAATCAGTGTGTTTTATTTCTCTTTTTGCCTCCTAATCTGTCATCTATGCCATGATTTTCACTTTGCCAATATGGATAATAGTTCTGGTCTATAACAAAGTGTTCCAAGATGTATAAGCATAAAAGTTGAGAATCCAGTAACAGTGTTTATGGTTAACATCATTCATTACAATCAGATTCAAATTGAGAGAATTTGAGCTCACTGAGCTCTTCTGTGCCCCCACCAGATTCAACAGTGTATAGTCTTCTGGGTTCCTGGGGAGGAGAGTCAGAGATGGTCAGCTCAGGAGTGTGTTCTGTAAGTGTCTTCAACTCCACCTGGTCTCACCTAGACTAAATTTTACAGTTCAAGTATTTGGTAATCTGAATTATTCCCAAACCAAGAATATGGTTAGCAGGTCTCCCCCCCCCCCAAAAAAAAAAAAAAAAGCAGTGATAGGTTCTTTTTTAGATTCTAATGAATTTCGGAACAGTTACTCCTAATTGGATTTGCTAGATAACTTTTAAAATTCCTTTCAACTTTGATTTTGTATGTCTTATAGATTTTTGTTTTTCTACATTCACTACATGTCAGTGGTTTCCCATCTCAGCTGATTTTAAAACTCAGAGAGCTTTGCAAAGTACACATTACTTCCATTCTGGGTCAATTTAATTATTATTCTGGGGTGGCCTGAGAGTCTACACCTAAAAGTTCCTTAGTGAGGCCAGTTGCGGTGGCACATGCCTCTAATCCCAGCAACTCGGGAGGCTGAGGCAGGAGGATCGTGAGTTCAAAGCCAGCTTCAGCAATTTATCGAGGCACTAAGCAACTCAGCGAGACCCTGTCACTAATAAAATACAAAATAGGGCTAGGAATGTGGCTCAGTGGTCAAGTGCCCCTGAGTTCAATCCCAGGTCCCCCTCCCCACACCCCGTCAGTACTTATGGATCCTGAACCACTGAGATCACACTCTTCCTCTGAAAAAATGGGGTGTTATCTTCCCCTTAGAGAAGAGTGGGTGGTCTGAATAATTGTTTCTTAAACCTTTTCAGGTATAGGAAAGTGATTTTCCTATAATGTAAATTATATAAATGTGGTATGTAAATATGATATTTTATTTCTTCTAGCAATAGACCTGTGGATGTATCTCAGTGGTAAAACGTTCCAGATTCAATCCCCAGTACAAAAACAAACATGCATACTAATCTCCATGAGTTTTAACATCTATCTGGAATCTGCAGTCTTCTTAGATGCTCTAAAATCAGATATTTTCCACTTACAGAAATTCTCTTCAGATCATTGGAAGGTTTCCTTAAAAATTTCTACAGTAACAACTTGGACAGTACAACTTGAAATTGCCTTCTGTGGCATTTGTCACTTCAACATTAAGTTTTATTTTGTACCAGATAACTGGAGCAATAAATGTCTTCAAAAAAGGTCTGAAATAGTAGTTTTACTTGAAAGAATAGCATTATTGAGTTTAAATAATCCTCAGTTGTGTTTTGTTCTAAAAACTTTAACATTCGGGATTTCTTTAAAGTTCTTTATAATTTCTTCCTATGCTCTCTGACCAGTTTCAAGATTCTACTATTGTATCTCAAAGAACTATCCTACTCATTTTGAAGCTCTGAAAAATAATATAAATCACATATTTTTCCTGTTTACACAAAATTATTCTCTAACAAGATATGTTTACCTTCTTGGCTGGCCAGGGAAGTCTTCTGTGAAGAACAGCATTTACAGTGAAGCCAGAGTGTAGCCAGGAATTCACCTGCGGAAGGTGGTGGATGGGACACTCTGGCAGAGAGAGCAGGGACCAGAGCCATGTGGAGCCAGGGCCTGCTGTCAAGGAGAAGGACAGCTGCTAGGTGTTGACTTTAGCCTGAGTTAGGAGTCGTGGGGAGGGGAGGGGTATGGCAGACCTGCCACTTTAGAAAACCCCTGCCTGGCGAGGTGCAGTGCGCAGGCCTATAATCCTAGCATTTTGGGAGATTGAGGCAGAAGGATTCCAAATTTGAGGCTAACCTGGGCAATTTAGTGAGACCTGTCTCAAAATTAAAAAAGGCTATGGATGTAGCTCAGTGGTAATGTGTTTCAGGTTCAATCCCCAGTGCAAAAACAGAAAAGAAAACCACTGCCCAGACCCTTGAAAGGGAAGAGGCCAGCTAGAGAATCTTCAAAGACCAGGTTAGGGACCATGGTGCTTTGAACTGTCATGGTGGCCATAGAGAAGTTTATAAACATGTAAGAAACCTTATGTGGTACCATTATTGCATACCAAGAAATAAAATTAAAACCCCAATAGAAATTGGGGACAGAAATTGAAACTATGAGATAAAATATACATTAATGTTTCATTGTTGACATAGACTAGACATTTATTCAGACCCTCACATGTTTGAGATTGAAGTGTTGTTGATATTTATTTGGGACTCACAGTACTCTAGGCCCTTTGCTCACTTCTTCATATCCAGCATTTAACCCTCACAGCAACCTTTAGTTATAAATATCTCCACCAAATCCCTAGTGCCTTCAATGCTGCCCAGTGCATGTTAGCTTCTTATACAGCATGAAGTGAAGTAAGGGTAGCAAGCCTGGTTCCTGTGGACAGGTGACTATGCCCTGCCCCTTTCTGTGTTTCTGCATTTTGTTTTTGTTTTTGTTTTCCCCTTCAGAGAGTCTTACATGTCCCTTCAGTTTCCTGAAGCCTCCACTAGATGTCAGGTACAATTCCTCCTGTTGATCTTTGGGGGAGTTGACAATATTGAGTAAATGAGGTTTGTCAAATAAATCTCAAGCCTTATCTTCAAAACAAAGATTTGAAGATTCTCCTACCAGCATACTAGTAACTAAGTCCAAGTCTCTAAGAGAAAAAATTAGTTGCTGCTTTTGGCCAGAATATTTTTATACAATTTCTGGTTTTTGACGTCTCTGATAGATTCTCTTCTGTTCTAATTCAAGCAATTTGTTGTTGCTTAGGATCTAATTATTTAACCACGTAGTTCTTAAACCTAATTTCTTTAATTAGAGGTTAGTCACCACTACATTTCAGTTTGTGGTTATTTATTACTGAGAGAAAGCAAAACTTGCTGGTGTTGGCTTAGTGTCTATATTCTTAAATTCCAGAGAGAAAGAGCATGACCGTGTCCTGCCACATACACCTGGGATTCATCTAATTTCTTGACAGGGTTGCCAAAGTGTAGCCCTTAGGGTAAACCCAGCCAGTCATCTGTTTTTGTATGGCCCATGATCTAGGAGTGACTTTTATATTTTTAAGTGGTTCAAGATAAATAAAAGAATGGTAATATTTTGTGAAGTGAAAATTATATTAAATTGAAATGTCCCTGTTCATATCCAAAGCTTGATTGGGCCACAGCCACATTTACCCATTTATGTCTTGTTTGTAGCACTTTGGTACTACCTTGGCAGAACAGATTTGCCGCAGCTGAGACCGCATGCCTGCCCAAGCCTAAATATTTACTGTCTGGCTCTTTACAGGACAAGTTTGCTGACCTCTGCTCTTAAGAAAGAGTGCATAAAAACTGGACTTTCTGCTTCTTGATGTTCTTTTTTCCAAATGGTATTATATTTGGTTGGATGGTCCAGATTTTTTCCACTCAAGGGTGAAGGATAATTGATAATCTCTTAGGTTTCTTACTAGAACCAGACTGCCTGTTATTGAGAGAGCTCCTTCATTTGTTTCTTACTACCTTTGCATTCATAAATATATAGCATATTTGCACAGCTAAGCCAACCACTTTTTTCCATACCTTGCATCAAAACTTAATTAACCTAGACAGTTGAAAACTAATGTTATTTAAATTATACTACAATTATAAAATTATAACTAAAGCCATACTTTAGTGTTG